CACAATACTGTCTTCCATGAACGGACAAAACACATTGAGATTGATTGTCACTTTATCCGTCAGCATCTGCAATCTGGCTCTATCTCGCTTCCTTTCATCTCTTTGGCTTTGTAACTTGCGGACTTCTTCACCAAGACTCACACTACTCCTCGGTTTCAGTTTCTTAGCAAACTCTCAGTGTTTTCTGCTAAAGCACCTTGAGTTTGAGCGGGGGTGAGAATATATTGTGTATAGTATATTCTAAATTAGGCATGATTGTGGTGTATATTCTAAATTAGGTAAGATTGTGATTGTACATATTATAGGCACGATTACGGCGTGGTTGTATTTTCCTTATGGTTTAGGAGTTAGGGCCATATAATCTAAGGTCTTATTGTAATCAAATATACAATTGAATATATAGTTTCATTCAGAAAACTTACAGGTAGTAACAGCTCGTTCCCAAGCACGTGTTTGAGATTGTGCGAGTTCCTTTTTTGAGCCTACACTCTTTCTAGGATGAGTCACACACTCTCAGGTATTTGATGGCTCTACTTGATTTTCCTTCTACCACAGCTTTTTCCAATTTTGCCTACACAGGTATTCTTGCTAGTGCTCTTAGTACATCCTCATCGCCTTCTTGGATTATTGATTCAGGTGCCACCGACCACATGATAGGTGCCTCTAGTCTTTTCTATTCTTATTCTCCTTGTTCTGGTTGAGATAAGGTTCGAGTGGCTGATTGCACTTTATCCTCTCTCTCGGGCAAGGGTTCAATTTATTGTTCATCTTTACTTTCTCTTTCATCTGTTCTTCATGTTCCTAATTTTTCCACTAACCTGTTTTTTGTTAGTGGTCTTACTACTTCTCCAAATTGCTCAACGACCTTTTTTCCTACTCATTGTATCTTTTAGGAACTGGCTACGGGAAAACGATTGGCAATGGTAGAGCGCAAGGTAGACTGCACTATTTGGATGACGTTCCTCCTGTTGTCCCATCTCAGGCTCTCAAGTGCACTATTGGCTCTCTTCTTCATCTCCTTTATCAGTGGCATCGCCGTTTGGGTCATCCTTCCTTTAGTGTTTTAGAAAAAAAATTTCCTTTCTTTGGTTCATGATTGCCCTAGGAGTATTTTTGGTTATGATGCTTGTGAACTTGCAAGGCATAAACGTACTTGTTACCCTTCAATTAATCAAATAAGTATACCGATGTGTAGGGCCCTTCCCTATGGTTTCTACTTCTGGGTATCGATGGTTTGTTACATTTATTGATTGTTATTCCCGTATGACTTAGATTTACTTGCTTCGAACTAAGAGTGAAGTTTTTTCTTGTTTCCAAACTTTTTATAAAATGGTGACGAATCTTTTTAATGCTCAAATCAAAATTATTCGAAGTGATAATGGGACTGAGTATGTTGATGAGAGTTTTTCGAGCATACCTAAAGGAGCATGGCATCCTTTATCAGACTAGTTGTGTTGGTACTCAGCAGAATGGAGCTGCTGAACGCAAAAATGGCCATCTTCTTGAAGTTGCTCACTCTCTCTTATTTACCATGAATGTCCCTAAGTCTTTTTGGGGTGATATTGTTCTTACCGTTGCTTACCTTATTAACCGTATGCCTTCAAGTGTCCTCCAATTCCAGATTCCTCTTCAACTACTTCATGTAGCATATCCCTCTTCTCTTCCTCCTCGGGTGTTTGGGTGTGCCTATTTTGTTCATTTGTAACCGCGTACTCGTGGGAAACTCCATCTTAAGGCTGTGTGTTGTGTCTTTATTGGTTATTCTGCTACTCAGAAGGTTTACAAATGCAATGATCCTCCCACTCACAAAATGTATGTCAGTATGGATGTCACTTTCCGTGAATGTAAGGCCTTCTTTCCTTCTTCTCCGCCATCTCCTCCGGGGGAGAGTAGTGTTGCGGATAAGATTGCGGATAAGGAGATGGCCTATCAACACGAGTTATCTTTTTTCCTTCCTAGTCAGCGGACTATTATTTGTGGTGAGGGGGAGCCTAATAGTTCTCTTGATGTGGAGTCTAACATTAGTGGTCGTTTGGATAGGGTGGATCTTAAGACTTATTCTCGGCATCCGAAAGAGCAAGCTTCCTTTGTGCCACCAGACCCATCATCATCCCTCATGGCAGTTCCAGGTAATGCACCTCAGTGAGTAGTGTTATGGATGAGATTGCAGATGAGGAGATGGCCTATCAACACGAGTTATCTTTTTTCCTTCCTAATCACCAGACTGCTATTTGTGATGAGAGGGAGCCTAATAGTTCTCTTGATGTGGAGCCTGACATTGGTGGTCGTTTGGATGGGGTTGATCTTAAGACTTATTCTCGGTGTCTGAAAGAGTAAGCTTCCCTTGTGCCACCAAACCCATCATCATCCCTCATGCCAGTTCCCAGGTAATGCACCTCAGTCTATCCTTCTGATCTAAGCTCCGAAGCTTCTTCCTCAACTCATACGCCTGTGCATCATTACCTTGTTGGGAGTACATCTGGACTACAGCTGTCCAAATCTTATGAGTAGTATCTAAGAGAAGAAAAGACCGACTGATGGCTGGTTGCATAGAGTTAATGAGCCAAACCATAACCAAAGCGTTCTCAGAAACCCATTGAATACGCGAAGCGGCATTATGAGCAGGTTGGGAAAGGTCACCGGTAATGTAGCAAACGGCGAGCAGCAATAGCAAGGCTACAAGAATGGGATCAAATCAAATAATTGAAGCCATCAAGTTTCACAGGACTAATTTCAAGAGTGTCTATCATTAAGAGTCATAGCACGATGCACGCCCCCCTCTTCACTAACCCTAGGGTCTTTATCCTCAATTCCAACCATTGAAAATCAATCCCCACAATAAATAACAGTCCAGGAAGCCAACAATAGTGCCACAAACTCAAGAAAGGACTAGGAAGATACCTTTATAGACTTAGACAGATCCAAAAACGAGCCAAGAAAGCAAAAAACGAACAAAAACTAAGAGAACCTCACCAATCCTTCAAAACAGTGACTCTAGCCTCCTCTAATGGTCCAGTCGGCCCCCAAGGAAAGGGAAGGAAGGGAAAAAACAGCCCTAAAAGGGCTCCAGCAATGGCTTATGAAAAGTGCCACTTTTTCCAAAAAATCAACAAAAATTGGAAGAACCACCAAATAATTACCAAAAAACTAAAAGAAAATCATGGGGTAGAAGCCCATGAAATTTCGAACATGGAGGGAATTTTATTTATTAATTTTTTTTTTTTTTTTTGGGCGAAAAACGAAGAAAAAGAGGAACAAGGAAAGATCACAATCTTCAAGGAGGAAATGTAGCTCTGATGCCATGTTAGATGTTAGATTTACATATGAAAAGAAGAAGAATAATTAGAAGAAAAGAAGAACAGAGAGATTGTTGTGCTTATTATCTTACACTTAAACATATTAGGGTTACACATATTTATAATAAAAGACTTCACACATATTTATAATAAAATATTAGGGTTCTCTCCTCCTTGAGTTTGCGGGGGGCTGTTAGAATTTCCCATCTTTACCTTCACCTACTCCTTACCTACTACACACTCACCCTCTTCTATATATAGGAATCATGAATCATTGTAATACACATCAATATATCAATCAATAATAATACATACAATTTATTCTCTCTCTTTCTCTATACATTATTTCTTACAAGAACAAATGACATAACTACCTTTACACACTAATACTTAATAGGCATATAGCCGGTATTATTGATCCAGTATAGGTAAGGGAGATAGTGGTACCAACTATCTACGGTATAGACCCTTGGACACTCTGGAGTTCAGCGGAGTAGTAACCTCGTGATTGTGGATGGAGTTTGTTTCTGACACACAGCTCAGAGGGTGAGCCTGGAGTAGGTAGGACCTATTATTGATTTTTTGCTCAGACACAATATTGGTGGCAAGAAGGGTTATAACCTTGAAAGCGGGTATTGTACGTCTTGTTGGCAGTTATTATATTTTAAAGCTATTAGTTTATTTATTTAAGTTAACTGGGCAGAGTTAATTAAATAAAATAGAATTGAGGCCAAGTTGGCAAGTGTTAAAGTTGATTATTTATTTAAGTTAACAAGAGTGAGTTACTTAAATTATTTTGACTTAAAATCTTATTGGCAAGTGTTGGAATTTATTCATTTATCTAAGTTAACTAGAGTGAGTTAATTAAATAAATCGGACTTGTTATCCTGTTGATAAAAGATGATATGTGGTTATTATCTTTTGGATAAATTATTAAGTATTTAACTTGTGGGAGTTGATTAAATAAATTGGTCTTAAAGTGATTGAGCAAGTAATCTAAAAGTTGGGCATTTCATGTTATTTTTATGCATATATATATATATGAGATTGCTCGGTGAGCTAGTGGTTTGCTCACCCACTGCTTATACATGTGTTCAGAAAATGTTTTCGGACTTGAGGATCAGACAGTTGGTTGTATCAGGATGTAGGGATTATGTGGTAACGAGTGGTAGTGCTCTTATTTGCTTGTATTCGGTTTCGAACCGTATTTATGGATTTGGCCGAGTGCCCTTTTCTTTAAAAATGGGTAATAATCATTTTATTGTTGTAAGCCCGTGGGGCATTGTATTTGAAAAGGGGCATGTGTATATATTTTTTTGTGTTATATAATGTATATTATGGAAAGAATGTAAGGATATGTCATGTTGAGAGCAATACACAGAGAGCAGGTTCATGGTTTCCAGCCATGGTATTATTATTTTCTTCTTCAGTTACACCGTCTTTTGAAATAAGGATTTCTGGGGGTATTTCCTGGTGTGGACTTTCTAAAGGTAAAGAAAATTGTTAAAGAAAAGAATTTTTGATAATTAAATGAATGAGAATGAAATTTCTTTCAAAAACCTCATGCTTAGGTTAATTAGTTTCTGCCTAATTAATCTTTGAAAATTGGTGTGATAAATAATCTTACAATAGTACAAATCTACAAAGTTCAACTTTATTGGTCATGCATTAAAGAACGTAAGAAGCAAATCTCAATGAACCAACCTTGTCCTGACATGAAAGGTAACTCTCTCCCCAACCACCAGAAACAATCTGTCTGGACAACAGAAAATCACAAGCCTTACGAATGCTCAAACTGTTATGGTAGTTCTTTCCAGCAGCGACCAACCCTTTTATCCCAAACCACGCGCCATAGGTGAAGCAAACTCCCCAAGAGCCATACCTATTGAGGAACTATAAATATTAATTTATATTTTGACTATAAATTATTATAGATTGTAGCAGAGTTTAAAGGGTAAATATAGACTATATAGACAAATAACATGCCCCTAAACCAAGGCTGAAAATTTGTCACAGCAGGAAGAGCACGATGAGAGCATAAACATTAACACATTGGGTATTTCATCCAAAGTAAAGGACTAGACAAACTAACAGGAAAAAAGAAACAAACCATGATCCATTTGGTGCTTGTATCTTTTCAATGAATATAGCAGCTCTTTCAATACAATTTTCTATATCCTCTCTCCGATGCCCGGGGTATAATTTCTTAAATGATGTCAAAGCTTGAATGGCTGCTGAGGTACATTCCACATAACTACATAATAGTTGTAAGTTGGTTATTAATCACAAAGCTTGACAGAAATCAAGATCCGAAAATAAATACAATAAAGGAGCTGATATCTTACGGATAATCAATAACAATATCGCCAAAAGTTTCGGCAGGGTTGAGCAGCTGAAACAATATATACATATAAAAAACACAGAATTATATTTCTCTAAATGGAAAAGAAGTAAAAAAATAGTGTAAGAAAGTTGAGTAGCAACATATTCTATATTAACTGGCTACAATAGAACTCCACTCACATCCTTGAACAATTAATATTAATGAAAACCAAACTATCAACCCAGAAAGAAATTAAATTGCCATCTTCAAATGACATTAAAATATTTATTACTAGCCTACAATAAATAAGAGGAATTTTAACAACACTAATTGCAACTATTTGTGATTTTCTTTTCTTTTATTTTTATAAGTAATTGCAACAATATGTGAAATGAAACCCCAAAGAATACATTAAAGTTAAAATTCATATAGTTTCAACAACCCACTTCAGATTGGGATGAGTTCACAATCAATCACCTTGTCAAGACAAACTGCAAAAAGGAGAGCAGTTATCTTCTTTAAGTAATGTCTAAGAACCACAAAAGAAGATGAGTGCAGTCTGGATAATCAATTGTCCAGCTCAGTCCACCTTTTTAAACACTGTAGATAGCTAAGTCACTCTTTACTCATATGCATCACTGTGCTAATTCTACATGAATACATAGACTTATATCCTAGTGAAAACAGAACGAAGTGTGATGGAATTCAATGGAAGAAAAAAACTGAAAACTCATGATCTCAACCTTACATCACTATGGACCATACTCTATGATAAGATGATTAAGCCCAAACTATTGGGGGAAAATGCTATGTTATATTATTTCTATTGGAACACATAGGAATAACTTGCTACCTCAATAGTGCACTAAAATCGATCTTGTCTATTAATATGAATATAAGATGGCACAAATTCACGTACACTGCCATCTTGTAATTAACACTAGTATCTCAAGCAGTGTAGTATTTTGGTGTAGTAGTGTTAAAATAGCACAGTATAACAAAAACTCACTACAATGGTGTATTATACTAAACATGCACTGCACTATTTTATACAACACCATTGACCAGTTTGACTTTTTTTATAAGATTTACGTCCATGCCATTATAATTGTACTATAGTATATCACTAATTACAGATAGGTCACTTCAAGATAAATTAAGTTTAATTTGGCATAAAATAAATTGAGATAAATTAAATGTAAATATAAAATTTATGTCTATGCACAAACCCATTTATTTATTTTGTAACTTTGATTTAAATTAATGATATGAAGAATTATCAAAAAGAAAAAAAATGGAGATTGATAGGTAGATATATAAACAATAACACAAAAAATATTGTACAGTAGGACCACATGTACTATTTTAGCATGGTAAATAAAATTACACTCTGCGCTTTTGTTGTGCTAAAATAGCAAAAAGAAAGCGTAATCACTAGACATGCTCTATAACAAACACCAATTTGGATGGATGAAAGACCAGTTGGCAATACACTTAAAACCCTCCCTTGCAAATGATTAAATAGAGATGATTTTATGGGCATCATCATGTTCAACTTTCTAGGAAGGTTCATAGTCAAAGAAGTGCACAAACAATTAATGGAGGCTACCTCCAACCAACTATAGGATCTTGTGAGTTCATACGTTGCAAAGCCACCATCACTATTCTGCAGAGGTAATAAGAAGAGTTTATCAAAGATTCATAAATTAAGAACCACAGAGAAAAGACTACAATAAAATGTACATGGTGGGATAAAAAACGACAAATACAAAATAATTTGCAGAACCAATACACAATTCAATTGCAGGTAGACAACAAACATGCGCGTGCACACAAACACACAGAAATAAGGGTGGATTGCTTTCTGGTCTGATCTCTGGGCTTTAATATATTAGCAAAACAGCAAGAAACATACACTGCATAATTCAATTGTAGGCAGAAACACAAACACAAAGAGACATAAGTAAGGAGTGGATTTTGTTATTTTAATATTATTTGTACAAAGGCTGCTTTAATAAAAGAAGGCTAAGAAATAAAAACTCAGCAGCTTTAAACCAGCTTTACATGACATGCGCATATGGTTTGTTCAAAGAGCATATGAACACGATATCATTCACATCTAACTTTACCTGTCTATAGGACTAAAAGAAAGAATATTTAGCAGTGCATTGCTTGATTACCAATAACATAAATCCAGGAACATAAATTATAGAAAGACTCGAAGAACTACTCATATTTTCAACCCTCAAATTGTCAAGGGATGCAGATAGCTGCCGACTCACATTATAAGATGAACTTGAACACACCCCCTTTTAACATGTAAAGGCATAGAACAGTCTACAAATGTACTCTAAAGTTCAGAGCTGAAAATTCCTTTTAGAGAATAAAACAAATTTAGCATACATATACTCCACTACTGCTGTCTGTGGGAACAATTAGATTTTAAGCATGTCAGAACAGATTAAATGGGATTAATTGTAATGAGTGATACTATAACACCCCGAATAATACCACGTGCCATAGCCATATTAATATCCATCTTTGAATACCCTAGGCCAAATTAGCTATCTCATAACACAAAATAGTTTAAGTAAAACCTAGAAAAGAATATAGTTATGAAGCTTAAAAAATATATATATATATATAAATTTCTTTGTCAATTGTTAAGAGTTAGAAAGTAATCACTTCTTAAGCTTAGAAAACAAATATATACCACACTGAAAGCATTTTTACGTGTCATGATCGAATAATTTAATTACTTTATAATACTCTAGAAATAGAAATGTGGATTAGTGAAATGAAATTTTAGAAAATGAATACAATTGATAAGGAATCTAAAAGAAATATATGAGTTAAAACTATAAGACTTAGGAAAATTGAATCTATTTTAAGAAAGGCTTTTGTGTAAAATTTTAATGAATCATATTCAGTAATGAATCATATTGAGTAAGGGGATAGTTTCGAACATGAAATTAAATCATCTAGATATCTTAGAAACCTAAATTGAGGAGCTTAATAGATTTAGACTAACGTGTAGAGCCTTTTGGGAGCTTAATTAAAAATTAAGTGAGATTAGTAAAAATTACGAACGATTAAATTAAGACTTAATTGAGAATAATTAGATTGACTAATCATAATTAATTAGACCTAAGAATTGATTAATTAGGTTAAAGTATAATTAGCAAATTAATTTAATCCTACTCAAATATAATACCATATGGATTAGTGTTAGCACCTTCTACTTGAAGGCTACATGGTTGGCATTGGCGACACCTTGTGCCTATGTCCAACCAAGACCACGGCATGATGGTGGCATGACAAGACAACAAGGTGGGAATATGACAAGTGTTGTGTGGCAGTAGCACTCAATCCTTGGCCAAAGTATGGGTGGCATTACGTAGATGCAAGGCATTAATATGACCTGAATGTAGGCTGCACCATACTTGGGGATTGACCACAATCAGTAGGCAAGTCTTGGTCTGGTGGCCAAGGCAAGCAATTTTGTGGCAGGCTTGATAGGGCAGACAACAAGACAGTCATTAGCAGTTATGCATGTTTGTTGAGAGCAGTTACCTTTGTTGGGGCAAAGACAAGGAAGGCTGGAAATTAGGAAGCAAAGTTGGAAGTCAGAAGCAGTTACTGGAAGTTAGCTCCAGAATTATTCCCAAGTCCCTAGGCAGTTGGGGGTGTCAACTGCCATGCCACTTGGTAGGCTTTCCTTGTATTGATGCTTGTATTTTGTAACTGATTGTAAGCCTATATTAGGCATGGCCATGGAACTCGAAATTCAGGCAAGTAATTGTGAGAGTTTTCATAGGCATTCCTTTGTATTGTTGGTGCAATAATAAAGGTTGGGAATTTCTTGTGAATTTGTGTTGCCTTCTCCCTTACTTGTTCTAACTCGTTGTGTGAGTGTGTGTTGGAAATTGGCTGAGACAATTAGTCTAGTGAGGACAAGTGTCCCAACCCTTAATAAATAAAAAAATTGAGTCAAGAATGAGGAAGAGTAATGCTGGAAAATACTGGGACTGAGAGAGAGAGAGAGAGAGAGAGAGTTAAGCTCAAGAAGAAGAAAAAGAAGAGAGGAAGAAGAAGAGAAGAAGAGAGGTGCAAAGGAGAATCAAGTTCATGATTTTAAATTGGGTTTGATATGAAGAAAATTAATAAAAATCTAAATTACAGCAAGTTAGGAATTAAAGTTATGATTTGGTTTTGAAAATTTAGAATTAGTTAGTTTTTATCTTAATTTCATACATGCAAATGTTTTTTCAAGAGTTTCGGTACTTCAATTTCATGTTTTGAAGAAAAAGGAAGAAAGCTTTGAAAAACATCACATTCATGGAGTTTTGGTTTTAATCTTGAAATCAAAAGACGTTTTGATGCAAATGATTTGAAAAATTGATCATGTTCTCATGTTTGTTAATGAATTTACAAGTTTTGGGATAAGTCATGCAAAAACCCTAGCCTAGAAATTGCGAATTGGGAGCTTATCCTTACTGAATCTTTGAACAGAGCAGACGCGGACCGCTCGAGCTATTGGTTGACCGCTCAAGCAAAGATGAAGGAAGTCCAGTATTTTGTTTTGTAGGCCTGTAATGTTGAGGAAATAGGTTCACTGCTCGAGCAATGAAAGTACCGCTCGAGCGGTCTGTTCAGGATTAGCCAATAAAAAAACTCACCTTTTGCTCATTTTTCTCTCTCCAAAACATCCCTATGCATGTATTTAGACTCAACGAGAGTTAAACATGACTAGAAACCGACTTAAATTAAGTTGAATTGAAAAGAGAAGTTAAGTCCAATTAGTTGCTTTCGCTTTATGGATGTTTGTATGTGTATTATGTAGGTCGTAAAGAAATAGTTCTGAAAATGCTATGGTATGATATGTTTTATAAAATCTGTATTTTATTTCTGAATGAATGAGTTTTCCATAATCTATTAAATTTATTGTGGCATCTTTTAGTGAGTCCTAGCCAATGGGGGACATTCATATGCCTTGGCCATGGAGATCTCTGTTCTGTTCTGTTTGCAACCAAATATGGTTGTTCTGTTCTATTTGAGACCTAAAATGGCCATTCTGTTCTACGCTATTGGATGTACCACATATTGTGTTTAACTTATGAATGTTTTGATAAAAGCTCTTATATTTATCCCTGAAATGTGTTATGGATTGATAAGAATGTTTTTAAAAATGCTTGGAACTCATTCATTAACCACTTTATTCTAATATTACTCATTGCGTTTTAGCTCACTCCCCTTCCCCTATATGTTTGTAGGTGATCAACACAAGGAACAATCTTAGGGGTTTACTTTTGAAAAACCCTTGTATAAAGCTTTTGGATGTCGGTGCCTTCGAGTTGAGGCTTATGTTTTGCCTACCCTTTAGAAGCTTTTGAGAGAGTGTGTATATGAATTTTTGTACTTTTGCATTTATTGTAAATAATGTAAGTTAAAGTAAGGAAATGTGTGTTTCTATTTCATATTAATTACACACAGCTCAATGGACTAAATAGTTGTCGTCAAAAAGCTTCTGCTTTAGGCCCCATTATTTTACTAAATATTGTGTTTTTGTCAAGTTAGGCCTTCGGTAATCTAAGATTACTGGCCAGTCATCTCTCTAACCTCTAGAGGCGGGTTGGGGATGTGACAGATACCATAAGGAGTGACTGTGTTCATATGAAAGGTTTTAAAAAGCAACCGCAACCATTATGTAACGCCATTACGTAACGGTTGTGGTGATTACCGCCACTTGTTACGGCTGCTATAGTGGTGTGATGGAAATTTACATGTGTAACGGCCATTTCGGTGTTACATAACGGCTGTAGTAGTACCGTAACGGTCGTAACGATCCATTACAAATTTTCACAATATTCTGAATAGCGTCCTTTCCAGAAACAAAAGACAAAAGCTTACACAAAAATAATAAATATTCAAGTGATCCAAGTCCAAAGAAAAATCTTATATGAATTTTTTTTCTTTATGATTAGTTTTTAATTTTTATTTCATTACATTAGCATGTAAAATAAAAAATATATAAACAGTAGTCGTATTTATTTTTACAATCATTTTATTTAATAATTAATTGTAAATATTTTTTATTTTGTTACGGTAATATGTTATCCAAAAAATGTCTTTAAAAAAATGAATAAAATCAGTAGCTCAAAAATAATTTTTGTTTATGGCGCTATTTTTTTTTAACAATCATTTTATTTAATACTTAATTGTAAATAATTTTATTTAGTTAGCTATGAAGTGTTGTCTAAAAAAATGCCTAAAAAATAATTTTTGTTTATAGCACAATTTTAATTTTTATAATCGTTTCACTTAATAAATATGAATATTTTTTATTCGGTTAGTTCAGGTATTGGTCAAAAATAATTTCTAGACATCCAAAATCAATTATTCTTAAAGTCATTAACTATTGAAATAAAAGTTAAAAAAAATCCTTCAATAGTGATTTAAAAATATGAAATATATCAGATCATACTTAAAAACTAACAAAAATGGATCAAAATAAATTGTAAACCTAATAAATGTGATTCTGGAAAAAAAAAAATACATATATATTATGTGTATCGGTAAATTTTTTTCAAATTGTGCGAAACATAAAATAAATAAAAAAAAATCACGGTTCTGATTATCACAACCGTTATGCTACGACCTTTACAC